GTTCTCTTTCCTCGTCAGAGGGGGTCCAAGAGACTTACCCCGATCTGAGTAAAGTTCCACCTGAATATCACAACCTTAAAGTCCCCAGTATACTCCCGCATACATCCATATGCAGAGGTACGCACGTACGTACGTGGAGGTATGAGCGTACCCCCCAGGGCATGTCCGTGCAAAGCTCAATTTTTACGACCGTATACGCGTACGCGGTGTCGCACAATAGACTGCCCAGCGACGGACTGCTTTGTATGCGACATCAATGTATTAAATTCTCCTTCATCCCTGATCTGGCCTTTTCTTTTGTTTTGTTTTTTGCCAAGAGGCAAGTGATCTCTTCCTCCTCCATTGATGCCATGACTGAAATGGTGATAAATGAAGGAATTTGTCATGAGCGAATTAAAATCAGGTCCAGCATGGCTGCGAGAGGGTCTGGAGATTTCCTGGTGTGCTGGTCTGATGTGTGGGCTGCACAGAGCCAGCGCTCCATTTTTAAAAAAAAATCTTTTTATTAACAACATATAAACACAGAACACCGCTGCGGCTGCCAGCGCTCGTTTTTTTTCTTTCTTTTTCCGATCTGTCAATCAATCCAGTAGGCGTGTCAGCAAATGACCAATCGGCGACCTCAATTTGTCCCAAACGTAAGTGCCCCTTGTCTGTGTAGCTGGACTGAAGCTGCTCAGGGTGTACGCTTGAGTACGAAGTCTGAACCCTCTATGTACAGTACACGCGTACGTACGCGTGAATGGATGTACGCGGGAGTATACTGGGGGCTTAAGGAGGCATTCAATAAGCACAGAGCCACTGCTCTGCCACCACACAGACCCTACGACTGTGCCATTGACCTCCTTCCTGGCATCTCTCCCCCTCAGGGATGTTTATACTCCCTCTCTAGACCAGAGAATGAAGCCATGCAGAGCTACATTAATGACGCCTGTAAGGCTGGTCTTATTCGACTGTCTTCATCTCCTGCGGGTGCTGGTTTCTTTTTTGTGGGGAAGAAGGATGGCTCCTTACGCCCCTGTATTGATTATCGGGGTCTCAATAACATCACTGTAAAGAACCGTTACCCGCTTCCCCTCATGAATACTGCTTTTGAATTGCTTCAAGGGTCTAATGTTTTTACCAAGTTGCACTTGCGTAATGCATACCATTGTAGTCAGAATTAGATATGGAGATGAATGGAAGACTGCCTTCAACACACCAACAGGTCACTATGAGTATTTAGTAATGCCTTTTGGCCTCACTAATGCTCCTGCAGTTTTTCAGGCTTTGGTGAATGATGTGTTTGAGCAGGGATCACCAACCTTTTTAGACTGAGAGCTACTTCAGTGGGACCGAATGACATGAAGGGCTACTTGTTTGATACAAACAAATTTGCGCGGCTCACCTTTAATTATAGTATAATGCATTTACATAGATGTGAATATATGACTGCCGGATCACATCTGATCTGATCTGTATTATTAAAACCTCCCCACAGTGATTATCAGTAAGGGTTTAGCATGGCAAATATGATCAATTATTATTGATAGTGATTAGAACTCTCAATCGAGAACTCGAGTTCTCGGTTTGAATCCCTTTTTGGTTCTCCTGTACAACTGTAAATTGTTCCTAGCTATGACTGGGAGTGTGGATGGTTGTTTGTCTCTTTGTCTGTCTCTGGGACAGACTGGAGACCTGTCCTGGGTGTCCCTTGCCTTCACCCAAAAACAGCAAAGATGGGCTCCAGTCCCAAACAAAGGAGGCAAAACAGATGATTTACGGGAGTAGAAAACTGATATTTAAATATAAATTACCATTTCTTTTATGTTAATCTCAATTAGTAACATTTGAAATTCAGTGTATTTTATAAATATTTCATTAACTGTTTTGTAGGAATGAACACATTTGTAACATTCATTCAAAATATGCATTTTACTATTAACAACTTCTGTAACATTTTTAAGAACCTATTAATGATAAAATCTTCCAATTGAGCCCTGTTTGTCAATGTGAAGAAGACAAAGGAGATGATCGTGGACTTCAGAAAGAACAAACATACCTACACCCCCCTGAACATAAGAGGATCTGCGGTGGAAGTGGTCTCCAGCTACAAGTACTTGGGTGTACATCTGAATGACAACCTCAGCTGGGGCAACAACACCACCAGCCTGATCAAGAAAGCTCATCAGAGACTCTACTTCCTCAGGCGGCTGAGACGAGTTGGTCTGGGAAGCTCAGTTCTCACCTCCTTCTACAAGTGTGCAGTGGAGAGCTACCTGTGCTCCAGCATCAACGTGTGGCATGAAGGCTGAACAGCTGCAGAAAGAAAAGCTTTGCAGAGAGCGGGGTGGCTGTGGCTGAGTGGTTAGAGCAGTCGTCCTCCAATGCGAGAGTTGGGGATTCGAATCCACCAGAAGTCACATGCTGAAGTGTCCCTGGGCAAGACACTGAACCCCTCATAGTCTCTGATGTGTGTCCCATCAGTGTATGAATGTGATCTAAAGCACTGATTAGTCTCATTAGAATGATTTGTTCAATTAGCTTTGTAGAGATCTAGTAGAGTGCTGTATGAATGGATAAATGAGGACAGATTGTGGTGTAAAGCGCTTTGAGTATCTTGAAATAAGATAGAAAGGCGCTATATAAGTACAGTCCATTTACCATTTAGTGGTGAAGGCTGCACAAAAGTCTGTTGCAGTCAGCCTCCACACTATTACAGACATACCATACCATACCATTTTATTTATAGAGCACTTAAACCAGCGACAAGGCCAACCAAAGTGCTGTACAGACAGAACAGGTAACACACAAAGTAAAATACAAAATGAAGTATATCCGAAATATAGACATAAATACGATGCAGATAATGACGACAAACCAGTGTGGAGCGTACAGGTTCAAAACACAGATCCTCTGGTGTTGAATGCTACTGAATAGTAGTGAGTTTTTAAACGGGACTTGAAAACCGAGAGGGAGGGGGCCTGTCTGACAAGCAGAGGTAACTTGTTCCAGAGTCTTGGTCCTGCTACTGAGAAGGCCCTGTCACCTCTGTGCTTAAGATGAGTTCCTGGAAATGTGAGGAGAAACTGGTCCATTGACCTCAGGGAACGTGGTGGGACATACGGTTGTAGCAGATCAGAGAGATAATGGGGGGCGAAACTGTTCAGTGATTTGTAGACATACATGAGTATTTTGAACTGGATTCAAAAGTGAACTGGTAACCAGTGCAGGGAGGCCAAAACTGGTGTAATGTGCTCTCTTTTGCATGTACTGGTTAAAAATCGGGCTGCTGCATTCTGGACAAGTTGTAGTCGTGCTATGGAGGTTTGACTGATACCAAACAGGAGCGAATTGCAGTAATCAAGCCTAGATGTAATGAATGCATGTATTACTGTCTCTAGGTTATTTTTGGACAATATGGGCTTCAGTTTAGACAGCCGCCTCAGTTGGAAGAAACATGATTTAACAAACATGTTTACATGATTGTTAAGTTTCAGGGAAGGGTCCATTATCACTCCCAGATTAGTGACTCTGACAGGGTTTTTTCTGACAGGGTTAGAGCGGAAAGGTCGATGCAGTGGTTTGTGATCGTGTCATTGGGAGGGAACAACACGACTTCAGACTTCTTTTCATTGAAACTTAAGAAGTTTAAAGCCATCCAGTCCCTGATGTCAGACAGGCAGTCGAGCAGAGGTTGTATAGAGCATGTGCCATTGTGTCTTAGGGGGAAGTAAATTTGTCAGTCATCGGCGTAGAAGTGGAAGGGGATGTTGTGTTTCCGGAAAATAGCACCAAGCAGCAGCAGGTATAAAGAGAATAGGAGGGGACCCAGGATGGACCCCTGCGGAACCCCCCATTTAAGCTCTGCCACTGTAGAACTAAAATTCTTGATGGAGACACAAAAGGATCTGTCAGTGAGGTAAGATCTGAACCAATTGAGGGCTGACCCTGTGATGCCCACCCACTGCTCCAACCTAGCAATGAGGATCTTATGGTCGATGGTGTCAAAGGCGGCTGTGAGGTCCAATAGGACAAGCAGCACAGAATCACCAGTATCAGTGGTTAAGAAAATGTCATCAACGACCTTCAGAGGTACGCTCATAATGTTCCAAATAAGCGACATCGATGACAGAAAAACGAAGATCCAGAAGCTGTTGTCGGTCATACATCAGCAGTGAGTCTATATCACAGATAAAAAACGAACAAAACAAAAATAATCCGAACACCATCAGCAGAGGTGGAATGTAAGCCATGTACATGGGCGCCATCTTACCGGAAGTAAAACTACACCTCCAGCTCCAGATGCAGGAAGAGGGCCACTTGCATCATGAAGGACCCCACACACCCAGCACACACATTTTTTGCCCCGCTCCCCTCAGACCGAAGGCTGAGGAGCATTACGTGTAGAACCACTAGCCTGAGGAACAGCTTCTACCTTGAGGCTGTTAAAACTTATGAATCTCTAACCAGAAAAATCACTGTAGAAAAAAAAAATACTATAATGCCACTTGATTGTTGATATGTGCTGCTGACTATCCATGATGCTGATCTCATGCTGCTGATTATTTCATATTGCTGTGTTCATTAGTCCTCATCTGCTCACACAGACTCATGTTAGTGCTGCTGTTGTTTTGGCGCATTGTTTTGTACTATTAGTGCTTAGTATGTTCTTAGTTTTATGTATTCTTAGTTCAGTGAATGCAATATATTCTTAGTTCATGTCTCGGATCTTACTACTGATTTTATTTACCATTTGTATTTTTGTTGGATGTAATTGGAACCATATGTACGTAGTTTTGTTCCACCTCATGTAGCACATGTGATGTGAATGACAGTAAAAATCTTTGAATTAAATCTGCATTGATTTGCATCCAACACTGTCTTGGCATCACTGAGTTCAGTTTTACTCACCCAACAAGGGCAGGAACAGCACCATTATCCACTGTTTTAGTCCCACTCTTTGGCGCAGGTTCTGTATACAGGCAGGAAACAAAGTTTATATGATGGAGAGTCAAGACCTGCATGTCAGCTGCAGTGGACAAATTTCACATTACAATAATCATATTTCTGTTACGCCTTCCTTGTGGAAAAAAGAACACTTTAATCTTACTACAAAATTGTAAAAGATAAAAACACAGTGGATAAAGTGTTGCTGACCTATGTCTTCAGTTTGGTCGACAGAAGCGTACGTCCGCTGGAACTCAGCAAAGGCACCATCTTTGGCCATGAGCTGCTGGTAGGAGCCCACCTCTGTGATTTCTCCCTCCACCATGACCAGGATCAGGTCAGTCTGCGGTAGGTAGCTCAACCCGTGGGTCACCAGCACACGGGTCTGTGCACAAACACATGCAGCTTGTTTGTCAGTAGAAGACAATTGTTTCAAAAGATGTAGATACTTTTAAAGTTTCTAAATGACTTATGAGCACTACAACATATAAAATAATCATAAAGTGTCTTTAAGACTACAGTCAGCTAAAAATTCAAATAAAAAGTACAGCAAGGACTTTGCAGCCAAAAGACAGTGATTTTTTTGTAATGAAGTGTCCCTCTTCTGTCCAGTTTTGCTGTAAAGCTGTTTTGTAAGTGTTTTATATTTCTAAATAAGGAAAAGAAAAACAACACCACGACTAAGAGTCTCTAACCTCCAATTGTTTTCCTTTCAGCTGTTCCCTTTTCAGTGGTTGCCACAGCGAGTTGTCCAACTCACTCTGTCCTCACTCTAACTACCTCCATGTCCTCTCTAACTCAAACAAAGTAAAGGAAAGTGATAGAGAGTATTCCCAGGGAGGAGAGAGTGGTGATCGGAGCAGACATGAATGGACATGTTGGTGAAAGAAACAGAGGGGATGAGGAAGTGATGGGTAGGTTTGGTGTCAAGGTAAGAAACCAGGAAGGACAGATGGTGGTGGATTTTGCCAAGAGAAGGGAAATGGCTGTAGTCAACACCTATTTCCAAAAGAGGGAGGAACATAGAGTGACCTATAAGAGAGGAGGAACGAGTATGCAGGTCGACTACATTCTGTGTAGAAGAGGAAACCTGAGGGAGATTGGGGACTGCAAAGTTGTGGCAGGGGAGAGCTTGGTCAGACAACATCAGATGGTTGTGTGTAGAATGACTGCTGTTGTGAAGAAGAGAAAAAGAGTAAAATCAGAGAAGAAGACCAAATGGTGGAAGAAGAAGAAGAAAGAATGGTGTGAGAAATTCAGAGGGGAGCTGTTAAAGGCTCTGGGTGGTAAGAAAGAATTTCCAATTGAATAGACTACTACAACAACAGTAATTAGAGAGACAGATAGGAAGGTACTTGGTGTGTCATCTGGACAGAGAATAGATGAGAAGGAAACCTGGTGATGGAAGTGAAGTGCAGGAAGCTATTCAAAGAAAGAGGTTAGCCAAGAAGAAATAGGACAGTGAGAGGACTGAAGAGAGGAGACAGAAATATAAGGAGATGCAACATAGAGCAAAGATGAAGGTAGCTAAGGCAAAGCAGAAGGCGTATGATGAGTTTTATGAGAGGCTGGACACTAAAGAGGATGACAAGGACTTGTATTGGCGAGAATTGGCGAGACAGAGGGATCAGGCTGGCAAGAATGTGCAGCAGATTACGCTTGTTAAAGATAGGAATGGTAATGTTCTATCAAGTGAGGAGAGTGTGATGGAAAGATATAAGGAGTACTTTAAGGAGCTAATAAATGAAGAAAATGACAAAGAAAGAAGAGTAGAGGCAGGCCCTGAGTGGCTAATTGGGAGGACTGGGACAATTCCTGGTGGGCCGGTCTGATTTGTGGGCTGTAGGGCTGGCGCTCCCAGTTGTTTTTAGAACTTTTTTTCACAACATAAAACCAAAGAACACCGCTATCACTGCTTCTGGCCTGCCCTGCCTCCACACAGGGACGACTGCTGCTCTAGCCAACCTGTCAATCAATCCAGTAGGCGTGTCAGCAACTGACTAATCGGCCACCTCAATTTGTCCCAAAGGCAAACGCTCCTTACCTGCAAATATGCAGTGTCAGAGGGATTTTGTGAAAAATCATCAGAAAAAAATGTTTAAAGTTGTCATTGGGGAAAATATAATTCAGACGTGTTACCCTGAGCATTTAGAGGCTGGAACACAGTTTATTCCATTTCAAAAGCTAAACAAACTTTGGAAAAATGTAAAAAGCTGGCGGCCGACCCCGTGATCAGCTGATTATGTTATAAACAGGAAGTACCACATGTTCAACTGTACAAAAGTAACTTCAGGTAAATCCTCCATTTTCTGCCCTAATTACATTGCACGTTTAATGGTTAAATTAAAGGTTAATGCTTAAAGCTAGTTGTGTTTTGTTTTGTGTGTTTTATATGTACAAAGTAGATACATGTTGTAACTTCTGGTTACATAAGTGGAGTCTTTGTTAAAACTAAACAGATTTTGTACAAAGTGTTTAATAGGTTGTGTAATGTAAAATTTACACTCTTACATACTGAATATCACTGAGAGTTCTTGCCCTGTGTCGCTTTGAGGTGTTAAAACATCTACTGCAGTAACTATTTTGTTCTTAGTAGCTCAGAATTTATTAGATAGAGAACTTTACTAACTGGCTTTTCTATGTATGTGAATGTTTCTGTAAAGTGCCCTGAGACAACTTTGTTGTGAATTGGCGCTAAATAAATAAATTGAATTATTATTATTATTATTTTTGCCTGTCTTCTTTGCCTTAATGTTGGCTGATAAGGCATAAATGCCTCACTAAATGCCTCAGGTAACACCATGAGCTTCACTACCTCCACTATTATAGCTATCTTTGTTTGTCTGAGGTTAGCTCACTCTGGGCTACATTTCCTTGTGGGTGAAGCGATCTTACTGTTCACATAAAATATTTAATAATGTTCTTATAGAAACAATTCCTGAATGTTGTTCATACTGTGTTAATGCTACATGTTTGTCTATTGATCATACAACTGAGTACGGTTTCAGTAGACCTAGCCCACTACTGGTGTTTTAATTAGGTATTTTAAGTTACTAATAAACATGATGGATGACAATCATATTGCTTTATGCTAGACCACTAGTAAGAAGGAGTGATTATTCGTTTCATATTGGCTAGTGATTTTATTCCTAAAAGTTAACTTCGGCTACACTGTGACTTTTAGACTGTGGCTAGGATGCATGAGAGAAGCAGAGCGGGCTCTATTCACATAAGGAGAGCTGTTTATCAGGCTACTTCTTGTTGTGCCATTAACTCTAAAATAGTTATTAAATCAAGTGTTACTTGTGTAGGTAAAACTAGATGTTAAACAACCCGCTAAAATACAGCAGAATGCAGAAAATGGCATCTACTTTATTCAAAATTTTCTGGAGGAGGACCCCCAGACCCCACCCCTCCAGTGTGTCCCCCCCCACATTACAAATGCTTCTGATGCCAATGGTCATCGCATTGTTCAAGCCAAAAGCCATTTGTCAGCACTGGAGGCTGAGCAGCCCCTAAAGGTTGTATTCTAGAATCATCCCTGATGTAAGGTTATAATTACACAATTTTAGTAATAATAGGTTGTGATCTAAAGTGGGCCACTCTGAGATATGAAATTCCAGGGCTGAAAATGAGTCCCACTCCAGCCCTGAGTAGAGGTCATAGAAACTGTGGAACAGGAAGTGGGGAAGATTAGTGAGTGTGAAGTCCAAAAAGCTCTGAAAAGAATGAAGAAGGGGAAGCAAGTAGGACCTGATGACCAGTGGAGGTTTGGAAATGTCTTGGAAAGATGGCAGTGAGGTTTTTTTTACTCCAATATTTAATGGCATATTTGAGGGTGAGAAAATGCCTGAGGAATGGAGGAGAAGTGTGCTGCTGCCCATTTTTAAGCACAAGGATGATGTACAGAGTTGTAGCAACTACAGGGGAATTAAGTTGATGAGTCACACAGTGAAGATCTGGGAGAGAGTTGTGGAAGCTAGACTTAGACAAGAGGTGACTATTTGTCAGCAGCAGTATGGTTTCATGCCAAGAAACAGCACCACAGATGCCATCTTTGCTTTGAGGATGCTGATGGAGAAGTACAGAGAGGGTCAGAAAGAACTCCATTGTGTCTTTGTGGATTTAGAAAAAGCAGATGACAGGGTGCTGAGGGAGGAGGTGTGGTATAGCATGAGGAAATCTCGAGTGGCAGAGAAGTATGTTAGACTGTTATAGGACATGTATGAGGACAGCAGGACAGTGGTGAGCTGTGCTGTAGGAGTGACAAATAGCTTCAAGGTGGAGGTGGGAGTGCATCAAGGATAGGCTTTGAGCCCCTTCTTGTTTGCTCTGGTGATGGACCAACAGATGAGGTCAGGCAGGAATCTCCGTGGACTGTGATGTTTGCAGGTGACATTGTGATTGGTGGTGAGAACAGGTGGAAGAGAACTTGGACCTCTCCACAGCTCTCTGATCCACACAGAGGGCTGCAGTAGCTCTGTGGTTGTGACAGGAAGGGCATCCAGCATAAAAATAATTGCAAAGTCTTCGTGCGAGTTAGTTCACTGTGGCGACCCTTGAAGAAAGGAGCAGCCGAAAAAAAATGAAAAAAGGAAAATAAAGGAAAAATAGAAAAAAATATAAATATGGGATTAAAAGTTGTATTTACAGTGTATTTTAATGTGGACTATTTTTCCCACCAGGAACACGAGTGTGTAGAAAAGTTACTGTGTGACTGATATTGGGCAGCTGTGGCTGAGTGGTTAGAGCAGTCGTCCTCCAATGCAAGAGTTGGGGATTCGAATCCACCAGCAGCTACATGCCGAAGTGTTCTTGGGCAAGACACTGAACCCCTCATTGCCTTCAATGTGTGTCCCATTGTTGTATGAATGTGATAAAGCACTCATCAGTCTCTTTGGAATGATTTGTTCAATTAGCTTTGTATAGATCTAGTAGAGTGCTGTATGAATGGGTAAATGAGGCACAGATTGTGTTGTAAAGAGCTTTGAGTGCCTTAATTAGAAAGAAAGGTGCTTTATAAGTACAGTCCATTTACCATTAGATTTTTTTTGACAAAATAAAAAGTAGGATTTTTAGGCTTTTACAAAAAATAAAAAATAAATCATGTTTATTGACTACACCAAAAAAAGGAATAAAAAAATAAATAAAATAAAATGTGTGGTTGAGGTTCCCCAAAAGATCATGCAAGGGTAATTTATAAATGATTATCAAAAAAATAAACACCATTTGATGACTGAAGCTGGCTCACCTTGTCTTTTAGCAGACCCTGTGGGCCGACGACGTGATCAAAGATGTGTTTTCCTACATGAGCGTCCACAGCAGACAGCGGGTCATCCAGCAGGTAGACGGCTCGGTCACAGTAAACAGCCCTGGCCAGGCTCACCCTTTGCTTCTGACCCCCAGACAGATTCACCCCCTGCACACACCACAGATATGACTCAAACAAGCAGGACCTCCCAGTGACAGGGTTAACACTTTGGAAGAAGTTCCATATGTTAATAAAAAAGGGCTACGCCAATCTCCCCAATTACTGAGGGATTTGAAAAGTGAATGTCTGTCTGAACTGAATCTCAAGAGAAGGTGGGTCATGCAGCAACACAATGCCCCGAATAAGTCAATGACATCCTCAGGAGCTGATGTCTGCCGACTGCAGATTTCAGAACTCAACCTAACTGTCTCTGATGGCCATCAGCTCGGTTGAGCTGTAGCTGAGCTGCGAATCCAGCACTGAATCAGTGCTGAAAACAGCCTCATAGGAATTAAAATAAGGCTTAAACCCAGGAGCATGAGAAGCCGCTGCACTTTCTGTGTGCCGCCATAGCAACTGTAAAAATTCTTACACCTAGATTCAGCCACACACCAAAATGGAAGTAGGTACCTCATTTATTTATTAAGTTATCATGCTCACAACATACACAGATGGATGGACAGGGTATTACATTTCCCCCATTCACTCCACAATGGGGGACAAAAATACTACCGGCTTATTCTAGTGTTTGCCTTAATCCCTGGGTTTAAAACATCCACTCAGCATTCAGCTCAGTCACCAAATAAACTGTCAGCTGATACCTTTTCTCCGATCTCAGTCTCATCTCCAGCAGGGAGGATCTCCAGGTCAGGCTGGAGGGCGCAGGCCTCCACCACCTGCTGATACCAATCTTCCCTCTGCTCCTGACCAAATATGATGTTCTCTTTCAGCGTAGCGTTCTGGATCCAGGCCTGCTGGGGAACGTAGGCCACAGAACCCTACAGAACAACGTGCACAAAAAGCAAATATCACACTGTGAATATTACAGCATCTTCTTTGAAAAAAACTAACAGTTTCTCATTATCCCAAAAATGAAACTGCTGACTTTTGTCATTGTTTGAACAAACTGTTTCAAAAACGAATACTGGTATTGCCGGTCTATAGAGTGCACCCGAATATAAGCCGAGCACACTAAATTTAAATAAAAATACAATTTTGTACATATATAATCCATGCTTGTGTATAGGCAAGTGTTCATGTTGTAACATGAGTGGCAGCTCACAGCTGCTGAGAGAGATGTGCAGCTCTTGTTGTAGATCAAGAATCAACCACCAGATGGTGTTCTATTTCGTATAGGCTTCGCTCTTTAAGAGCTTTCGCTGGTAGGTTTTATCCCGTCATGCAAAGCATCACACTGAAAAGTTTAGTCCACGCCCACCTGTTGTGTGGGCCCCACCCGGTCCGTATAAATTACGTTAAGAGCAGGTAATCGGCTCCCATTTTTCTTCAGCAAGCTAATAGCACTGTCAGAAGAACGTAGAAGGAAAGTTGTCCAGCTTTGACTGGCACAACCTTTGCTAAGGCTGCCTGGGTCTCTGCCACGCCAACCTCCTGCCGTCCTGGTGAGTTCTTCCTCCCCGAGGAGAAGCAGACGAGCAGCCTTGTTTCAAGGTAAGCGCCGAGGAATACTTTTCCGTGGCGGGCCGCTACCCGCTGGACGACATCATTGCCTTTGCTAACGTTTTTTCCTTGTGGTAATCGAATGATTTCCTCGAAAAAGGCGAAGTTAGCAGCAGCCTCGCCAAATGTTTATTCCGTGGCGGGCCGCTACCTTCTCGACAACGCCACAGCCGTTTCTAACGTGTTCGTCCTCGCGGTAACTGAATGTTTTCCTCAAAGGCGATGTTAGCAGCAGCCCCTCTCGGAGCTGCCCGACATAATCCAGGAGGACGCTAACACAAGGGACTTTCCGTCCCTCGCCTCCCTCTGCCCTGATTGGATGATCTGGCAGCAAGGTTGGCTCCGCCCGGGCACATCGCCCTGACCCCATCTGGTCTCGCTGTCCAGTTGTGACGTCACACTGGAACGAGGCTGCAGCTGGGCTGGCAAGCTGAAGACAGCCGTGTTCACCTTCGCCTCCATCTCCAGAGTGGAGGGTTTTACCGATCGGTGATTTACCCTCAGTCCAGCTCAGCCGGATTCGAGCCCTGGCAGGTGGGAGGACCGGAATGGAGGGACGGGGGGTGGAAACGCTTTTTTTTTTTTTTTACATTTTATGTATAAAATATAAGTTGTTTCTTTTTTTATCAGTGAAGATTAAAAATAAATAAACGGTGCCGGCTTTATCGTGAAATCCTGTTTTCCCTTTGAATTTATTAAATAATCTGTTAATTAAAGTTAATTCAACTGAAAAATTATAAAAAAGACAAAATTATTGAATCTCTCATATTTCCCTCAAACATGTTTAAAGAAGAGACACAGCCTTTGGTTCAACATTATTCTAACCCACAGATGTACAAATCACAAAACAAGCATTACACTTTAAATTAAAGCTTTAAATCAAAGCTAAACTTTAATTCAAAGCTAATTAAAAATAATCTGTATACAAGAAAAAATCTGTATACAAGAAACAAAACCACAATGAGAGCAAATACATCAAATGATGAAGAAAAATATTGAATTTTAAATATAGATATCCTGATGCATGTTCAATAATCCAGGTAGAAAAATCTAAAAAAGTTAAGTCAGGTCCTCTGGACATTCAAAAAACAAACAAAAAAAAAAAGTAGAAATGTTTCTTCTTTCATCCGAAAGACTTCTTCAGTCTGAGGTGCTGTATTCAGCTCAGTCTTATATAAACAGCTATGAGCTGAATACAGCACCTCAGACAGAAGTCTTTCGGATGAAAGACGAAACGTTTCTACACTTTTTTTCGTTTGTTTTGTTTCTTTGAACGTCCAGAGGACCAGACTTAACTTTTTTAGATTTAAATATAAATGTTTTTGGGTGCAATGCGGAATGGGTGGTGGCCGAGGTCGGGGACCCTGGCGGTCTGATCCTCGGCTACAGAAGCTGGCTATTGGGACGTGGAATGTCACCTCACTGGTGAGGAAGGAGCCTGAGCTGGTGTGTGAGGCTGAGAGGTTCAGGCTAGAAATAGTCGGACTCACCTCTACGCATGGCTCTGGCTCTGGAACCAGTTTCCTTGAGAGGGGCTGGACACACTTCCACTCTGGAGTTGCCCCTGGTGAGAGGCGCCGAGCAGGAGTGGGCATACTTATTGCCCCCCAACTTGGTGCCTGTGTGTTGGGGTTTACCCCGGTGAATGAGAGGGTGGCCTCCCTCCGCCTACATGTGGGGGGACGGGTTCTGACTGTCGTTTGTGCTTATGCACCAAACGGCAGTTCAGATTATCCACCCTTTCTGGAGTCCTTGGAGGGGGTACTGGAAAGTGCACCTCCTGGGGACTCCTTTGTTCTGCTGGGGGACTTCAATGCTCATGTGGGCAATGACAGTGAGACCTAGAGGGGTGTGGTTGGGAGGAACGGCCCCCCTGATCTGAACCCGAGTGGTGTTCTGTTGTTGGACTTCTGTGCTCGTCATGGATTGTCAATAACGAACACCTTGTTCAAGCATAAGGGTGTCCATATGTGCTCTTGGCACCAGGACACCCTAGGCCGCAGTTCGATGATCGACTTTGTCATCGTCTCATCTGATCTGCGGCCACATGTCTTGGACACTCGGGTGAAGAGAGGGGCGGAGCTGTCCACTGATCACTACCTGGTGGTGAGTTGGCTCCGATGGTGGGGGAGGATGCCGGTCAGACCTGACAGACCCAAACGTATTGTGAGGGTTTGCTGGGAACGTCTGGCAGAGTCTCCTGTGAGACGGAGTTTTAACTCCCACCTCCGGGAGAACTTCGAACATGTTCCGAAGGAGGTGGGGGACATTGAGTCTGAGTGGACAACGTTTTGTGCCTCTATTGTCGAGGCGGCTTACCGGAGCTGCGGCCGCAAGGTTGTCGTGCCTGTCGCGGCGGCAACCCTAGAACCCGATGGTGTACACCGTCAGTGAGGAATGCTGTCAGGCTGAAGAAGGAGTCCTATCGGGCCTTTTTGGCCTGTGGGACCCCGAAGCAGCTGACGGGTACCGGCAGTCCAAGCGTCATGCGACTCGGGTGGTCGCTGAGGCAAAAATTCGGGCATGGGAGGAGTTCAGAGAGGCCTTGGAGAATGACTTCTGCACGGCTTCGAGGCGATTCTGGTCCACCATCCGGCATGTCGGGGGGGAGCGGTACGCCACCAACACTGTTTATAGTGGCAGTGGTGTGCTGCTGACCTTAACTCGGGATGTTGTAGGTCGGTGGGCGGAATACTTTGAAGACCTCCTCAATCCCACCGGCACGTCTTCCACCGAGGATGCGGAGCCTGGGGACTCTGGGTCGGGTCCTCCAATCTCTGGTGCTGAGGTCACCGAGGTGGTTAAAAAGCTCCTCGGTGGCAGGGCCCCAGGGGTGGATGAGATTCGCTCAGAGTTCCTTAAGGCTCTGGATGTTGTAGGGTTGTGTTGGCTTACGTGACTCTGCAATATTGCATGGACATCGGGGGAAGTTCCCCTGGATTGGCAGACCGGGGTGGTGGTCCCCCAATTCAAAAAGGGGGAGCATAGAGTGTGTTCCAACTAGAGAGGAATCACGTTCTTAAGCCTCCCTGGTAAGGTCTATTCGGGGGTTCTGGAGAGGAGGGTCCGTCAGATAGTCGAACCTCGGATTCAGGAGGAGCAGTGCGGTTTCCGTCCTGGCCGTGGAACACTGGACCAGCTCTACACTCTCAGCAAGGTCCTGGAGGGTGCGTGGGAGTTTGCCCAACTGGTCTACATGTGCTTTGTGGACTTGGCGAAGGCGTTCGACCGCGTCCCTTGGGGAACCCTGTGGGGGGTACTCTTGGAGTATGGGGTACCGGGCCCTTTGATACGGGCTGTTAGGTCCCTGTATGACCGGTGTCAGAGCCTGGTCCGCATCGCCGGCAGTAAGTCGGGCTTGTTCCCGGTGAGAGTTGGACTCAGCCAAGGTTGCCCTTTGTCACGATTCTGTTCATAACTTTTTATGGACAGAATTTCTAGGCGCAGCCAAGGTGTTGAGGGGAGCCGTTTTGGTGGCCTTAGGATTGCGTCTCTGCTTTTTGCAGATGATGTGGTCTTATTGACTTCCATCAGATCGTGATCTACAGCTTTTGATGGAGCGGTTCGCAGCCAAATGCGACGCGGCCGGGATGAAGATCAGTTGCTCCAATCCCGAGGCCATGGTCTTGAGCCGGAAAAGGGTAGAGTGCCCTCTCCGGGTCAGGGAGGAGGTCCTACCCTCAACTATGGTCATGAGCTTTGGGTTGTGACCGAAAGAATGAGATCTCGGATACAAGCGGCCGAAATGAGTTTTCTCCGCAGGGTGTCTGGGCTCTCCCTTAGAGATAGGATAAGAAGCTCGATCATCCGGGATGGACTCAGTGTAGAGCCGCTGCTTCTCCACGTCGAGAGGAGCCAGTTGAGGTGGCTTGGGCATCTGTTTAGGATGCCTTCTGGACGCCTCCCTGGTGAGGTGTTACGGACACGTCCCACCGGAAGGAGGCCCAGAGGAAGACCCAGGACACGCTGGAGGGACTATATTTCTCGGCTGGCCTGGGAACACCTCGGGATTGCCCTGGAAGAGCTGGCCCAAGTGGCTGGGGAGAGGAAAGTCTGGGCCTCCCTACTTAGGCTGCTACCCCCGCGACCCGACCCCGGATAAGCGGAAGAAAATGGATGGATGGATGTTTTTGTAGAATCTGGTTTATCAGATTTAATTCAGTTCAATTTATTTATACAGCGCCTAGTGACAACAGAAGTCGTGTTAGGGTACTGACCAGATTTCTGTTCAGTGCCCTAACACACACACACACACACACACACACACACACACACACACACACACA